CAGTGCACAGCATTGCATTAACTTGCAAAATATTTTCCAAGGGGCAAACTAGGGAACCTAAAAGGTACATTTACATTACTATTACATGTATGCATTGTAAATGTAGTGCTGACTACCCTTGCTCCATGGGGAATATTTTAAAGCCAAACATCTTTCCACTTCAAAAAATAACACAGTTTTTTATTAACCACACTGTAAAAAAGCAGGGTTACACACAATTAATTCATGTTGTTCCAACACAAATGCAATAAGTTCACGTACAGTAACTACTTTAAGTCGAATGGACATAAAACAATTAAGCTTCACAAGCAAATCTCTAGAATAGTGTTGTTTCAGTTCATTTAAGTAGTTTAAACAAGCAGCAAAACTCTTTTATTTTGTGTGCAGCATTAACCACATTATTGCATTTTAAATGAAGAAAACATGTTAAATATGACAATAAGTACCCGTGGAGAAGTGCAAACTAAATTGCCCATTCAGTTTTTACTACCAGTGCCCCAATCCACAATGATGCAGGATTGTTAAGGGCTGTAAGTCTTTCTTGAGTGTCCAATAAACATTAATCCAGTCCAGGACAGTCTAAATGCGTAGACAAAGCGTCTGTGTGCAGCGCCATACTTTAAAGATGTCAACATGAATCTGCCAAGGTGTCAGGCGACTTAACCTTCAGGCTCTTAGCTGACTTACGGCGGACTAGTAGGGTACAGACGCCATAGTGAAGTAGAGTCACACATCACATCCCTGCCAGCCTCAGAAGAGCCTTTTATAGGCACCAAAAAAAAAGCTACAGGAATGTTTTTAATCCCCGGTGGAAGAGCAATGTGTTAAGAGGTGTGATAAGGAACATATAGTATCAGCAAAAGGAGATATCCATCACTGCACTTGCCCGCTGAATAGAGAGAAGTTGGTTTGCTTCAGACTAAACGTATATGTGTCCACTGGCCCATTTTTTTAAAATCTTTTCTTTATGGCTGTTGAGCAATATAGGTTTGCGCTGTAAATTTTGGGAATGACAGCAAATGATCAAAAACAGAGAAATATTTTTACTCTGTGCAAAATGCTTGACTTTATTTGTAGATAAACAGACTGGGGTGATAAAAGTGTACACTATATTGGGCATTTTTAGGTGAAGTTAGTGTGTTACAAGGCTTTACACACTGTGCTAAACCTTGGGTTAAATGTCAAAATATCAAATGTTGACAAATTACAGATCAATTGGACTAAAGAGACCTCAGTTTTACTCCGTTTTACTCTTAACTGTGTCAAGTCTATCCATTTATAAAGCACATTTAAAGACTAGTGTGTACCAAAGTGCTGCACAAGACCAATAATAAGAAGGAGGAGTTTAAAAAAGAAAAGAAACAACACATAACTGGTCTCACGGTTTGGTTATAATTATCATGTCATCAATTCGGTTCAATATCTTGGTGCATCTTTGTGCATTGACGAAACTTTCTATACAAACTTTTTTTTTTTCTTCACAGCACAATAATTCTTATATTAAAATATTTGTTTATACAGTAAATATTTTAATATAAGAATTATTGTGCTGTGAAGAAAAAAAAAAGTTTGTATAGAAAGTTTCACAGAAGACAAAATCAGCATTTATAGTAAAGAAACTAATGTAAATATTATTTTGCTTGCTATTTGAGTGTTGTCGAGCGTGTTCTTACATCCCTATGAGTGGTCATTGTGTTCACGCGCTCAACAGAAAGGGCAGTGATTGGCTCTAAAACTGTCAGCCCTGTTTACAGATGGGTGATGCGGACACTGAAGAACGTGCGGTAACAGTCTGAATGTGCATAATAAAGCACGCATTGTGCAGCTATCACAGCTGATCTGTAATAGACGCCGTGAAGAAAAATGGCTTTACAGACACACTCGTCTCAGGACCCACAAGTATCACTTTAATAGCAGTAGAGGAGAGGAAATGTTACCTTACCAACATGCCAGCTGTTCAAAGTGAAAGACAGAGAGAGTGCTTTCATTTTCTCCCTAGCAGTGAAATAGTGTCTCCTGGTTCTGCTCTACTCCTATGTCAGTGAAAGATTGTCCAGCAAACTCACATTCAGTGAATTGTTAAAGTGATTTGCTTTTTAAGTAGTTGGAGCAATTTAATTACTCTCCCTCACTTGCCAATTTTTACACCCCTAATGATTAATAAAGGTGATACACTTTACAGTATTAATATACAAATTAACCAAATGCCAAGAAATACAAATGGTCAAGGGTCAGCGACTTATGTGGATCTTCTCTTACTAAAACAAAAAATATTGGATTGCTGTGTTTAATCACACTTGGACTTGGTAGTTGGACTTTCCCTTTTACCTGTGAACTCTTGTTTGTCTTTATTTTGAATATAAATGAATGAATACTTTATAAAGTTTTGTGTCAGCATTACATTTAGGTTTCTCATTTCCCAACATAGGACTCAGCAGTTTTGATGCCTATTTCTTTCACAGACAAAAACACACACAGCATTTAAAAAAGGTATGGGAAAAGTTTAATATTATATACAGAAAATGTCATTTATGTTGCAGTTCTGAAACTGAAGAATTGAATTGAATTGATTTGAATTTTATTTGACAGATTTTAGACAAGCTGTACAAAAATACAAGTATCCCATACATTTTGAAATAAAAATTGCGGTCCTCGCTGTTAAATAAAACACTGTATGGCTTCAAAATACCAAACAGTACCTCCACATTTTAAAACAAGAACAAAATAATTCACAAATACATTCCTTCATTCAATTATTTTTCTTTTCGGCTTAGTCCCTCTATCAATCAGGGATCACCACAGCGAAATGAACCGTCAACTCATCCAGCATATGTTTTATGCAGTTAATGACCTTCCAGCCACAACCCTATTTACAATCAAGTAACATATAAAATAAAACCTCCTCATCCACCATGAATACTAATTATCCTCATCAAACAACCATCTTTTGATAGCTTTTTTAAACCTTAAATCTTTTATTTCCTAGATCGATTTTGGTCATTTGTTCCACATGATTGCACTTGTATATAAAAACTTATTTTTCCCCACTAGACTTCTAAATTTAAATAAACAAATATTCAAATCCCAACCCCTAGTACTGTATGCGTGCTGTTGCCTCACCATTTGAAATTAGTTCACCAAATAACTTGGAACCACATTATTAAAAATTTTACGTACCATTCCCAGTTTAAAAAAACAAACTCTATTACCAGCAGTTAACATACCTAATTCTTTAAAAAACTCTTTGTGCAAATGTGCTCTTGGATGAAATTTTTTTAATTACTCGTCCTAATTTATTTTGTGCCTTTTACAATTTTTCCTTCATATTCTGTGAGCAGCCAAAAATAGGTAGCATAATCAAAATGGGGTTGAATTAAAGCTCCTGCCTATAATTTTTAAGAATGAACATCCAACAGATCAGCTTGCCTTGCTAAGAACCTAATTTTTCCACATTTATTCTTAAAAACCTTCAAGAAACCTGCTGCAAAGAACTTTAATAAAGAAAAAAGAAAGTGCGCAATTGTGCAGGGGTTCTCAATCTTATTCACTTCGGGGCTCACTCCCTTCTCTGATAAACTTTTGAAGGCCTGTCTGACATTTTCTCTAAAATGTTTGTATGAAATGCTCATTTAAACCTTTGTTTATATATATATTATACATTTGTTGTCCTTTGTAGTATTTTCTATTATCAGCATTTTATATAAAAAAAAACATTTTATTTATATTTAATTACATATAAAATTAAAACTATGCATATTTTAAATGAAAACTATTTTATTGATATATTTATTTTTTAAGAGATTTAAAGAGAACACAGATTTAAAGAGAACCACAGGTCGGCAGGGAGATTGCAAAACACCAGCTTCTGCTTTAAACAGGACTGACTGAATATCTACGGTTAAATATTTACTATTCATAAAGATACAGGATCTGATGGTGGTTGAGTTTGCAGCTGGATGTTATTGGAAGATCACTGACAGGGAACAGTGTACAGCTCCGCTCCTCCAGATCCTCTTGTATGGGTGCGCGTCTGTTATAAAACACTAACAGAGCATTAATTTGGATGACTATGTGGATATATTAAATATTTCACCAAAAATACACAAAGAGATATTTTCATTTTCACTTCACGCATTTGGGATGTTAATCAGGTTGTTTAAGAAGCCTGTTGCAAGTCTTGCTCATAAGAATGAAAGATATTTTAATTCTGGTTTGGAATTAATAATGCGTTGATGACTTATTGACATGAGCTGAATAGTTCCAAACGAATGTCTAATATTAATGCCGCCCTTAATATTAAAGATTTGTGGGTCAAATTGACTAGGCTGTACGGTTGCCGACCCCCGACTAAGTATGAACACTGTGAAATAAAAAAGCAATGATTTCCATTTGCACCGGCTTAGTTAAGCATTTTGTGCATGAAAAACCATATTGATGGATATGTATACAATTATAGAACTTGCATTGAAGCCAATCCAGCCAAACTACATCTGTTCCTCTCTTGGGTTTGTTCAGTATTGAGCAAGTTCCTTCCATGCGAGTGGATACTGTTTGACAGCAAAAGTTGCTTCGCCAAAATCCATTGAAATGTTGGTTTTGTGCTTGTCCTTGGCTTCTGTGCTTTCTTTAATTGGATTGAAGCCTTGACAGCATTAAAGCGTGGTGTGCATTAATTGTCTGTTTATTTAAACACGTACGGGTGAGTGTGTGTGCATGATTAACAGCTTAAGTGGATCTGTCTTGAATAATAAGCTTTGTTAAGAGATTTGAAAGTACAGTGATAAAGCAGGATCCTAAGAGAGCAACACGGGGATCTTTGATTGGATATCGCAACCTTGTGTAATTAAAGGCATGATCTGAAAAAGCAATTGTAGTACAGTTTTCATTCTGTGATCACGTGGTCTTTTTTTGCATATAGTAAAGTTAGAAGCTCAGTTATTTGAGCAGACTGATTAAGTGCCATTGTATTTTCTCATAAAATTCTTCGCCTTTATCTGCAGGTGAACACAGCCATGCATGAAGCCAAGCTGGTGGAGGAGTGTGATGAATTGGTGGAGATAATTCGCCAGAGGAAACAGGTCATTGCTGTCAAGATCAAAGAGTCCAAGGTACGTTTTCTTTTCTGTTCACACCAGCGAGACAGATTAGAACAGCCTGAATCGTAATTTGAAGTCGTATCTCGCATTTGGTCATATTTAGGAAGCTTTTTGGTTTTGCTTTATAGTTTGTAAACTAGTTAAAGTTACAAGTATAATATCAAAGAAGAAGTTCAAACTTGGCTTTTTTCAAAGTTGGCTTTTTTTCATTTTCATCCAGAAAGTCTTAATGCATCATTAAAGGGATAGTTCAGCCAAAACTGAAAATGCAACTATCATATACTCATCCTTGATCTGTCTAAATCGTTTTTTTTTTTTTTCTTGAACACAAAAGAAGATATTTTGAGAATGTTAACCTGTAAACACTTGAGTTCCACAGTATTTGTTTTTCAAAATACTATGAATTTTATGGACATCAATAATTATATGTTTCCAACATTCTCAATTAAAAAGAAAAACATTGACCTTGTTTTCATTTTTAAGTGATCTATTCATGGGCCTGTTCAAATTAGGAATAACTAAAAAAGATGACTTTATGTGCATTCACATCAGCTCATGACACTCATGCAGTTTTGCATTTGGTCTAAATTCATAAGCTATTTGGATGGATTTAAATTTGACTTTCAACGTTTTTTGTTTATGTACTGTTATGGCTAGCTCGCTCCTGACCATACCATAAAAAGTATCAGATGCACAAAGATATATAATGAAAATAAACATTTATTGAAGACAGTAACAAAATATAACAAACTGTCTAGGGATCTGAAATAAATAAGAAATCAACTGAAGTTCTCTCAACAAAATACAATGCTCTGTAACACAAAAGCATAAAGGCTTATTTATACATCTGCATCAAGCGCACTCATATGCTCTGGCGCAGACTGTGTGTGGATGCATAACCCTCGCCGTGGCCATTGCAGACGCGCATCTCTCAAAAAAATGTGACTACACGCCGCAACGCACCCATGAAGAAACTCAACACAGAGGAAAATAAAAACCTCACTGCCAGCTAGCGTTTCAGAAGTATTATTGCAGAGCAACACAAACAGCATGCAGAAGTATAAATGCATGACAATGCGCAAGGAATGTGCCGTGGGTCACGCCGATCACTTGACGCAAAAGTATAAATCAGGCTTAAGATGGCAAAACAAAAGAGCTGGAAAAAAATTACCTCTCTGAGCAATTATAGTCCACCAAAGGAAGTGCCGTTTTTCACGAAAAATGTCAAATAAATATCCTCACCCATAAATTAACTAACTATCTGTGACGTCACACTGCGAGTGTAAAAACCACCGGAAGGTAATAAAAAGGAAGACAGGGCCGCAACAGTACTAAATTAGCAAATTAAATTAGTCTAACACTAGCAGTGACATTTTCATTTTCTTTTCTTCTTCAAAAAATAAATAAATAAATAAACAAAAAAAATGTTTATATAAATATATATATATATCCGTCAACTGTTCCATTAAGGAATGTCAGAGAAACATCTTAAGACTTCACTCACTTAGAGAAACCTATTTGAAACTAATTCAGGACAAGATTTCACTCTATACCAAGCATTTCAGAACAAGACACTGCCCATTTTTTAAGCTAGAGACAGTCTGTCAGGCTCTGTTGGACCCTACCCTGTGCGCAGAGATAGGTGGCGTCTCGCTTGATAACAAGATGGAGAAAAAGTATGTCAAGTATATAGTTTGTAGTGCAGTTATAACTTAAAGTGAAGTTAAACCACTAGAGAAGTTTGTACTTTATACATTTAATTTAATTTTATTTTATTTTATTTTATTAGTTTTATTTTATTTTATTTTTTATTTTATTATTTTATTTAATATATTTTTTTCATAATGATCAAATATGACAGTAGATGTCTGTAACTATTTATTATTTATTTGTATATATTTAATATTCCCCTGCACAAAGATCATATTTGGGCATCCGTCTCCCTTTATTAAGCTGTATTACACTGTTCAAATATTAACCATCTTCAACATTTTAAGTGCAAGGATAAATTCTTCAGAGACGGTGTTGAGGTTAAGATGGTGCTGATGAGTAATCAGATCAAATGGGGCTGCAGAGATACTGCCAGAAAGTCCACAGGCTAAAAGTGAAAGTGCAGTGAAGGGTAGAGATACCACTTGAACAGGACTGTCGAAATAATGACAGGAGGCTTGGCTGGTTGAAGCGAATGCTGGCCATGTGGCATCACTTAACAAGCTTCCCTTGTGTAAAAGAAGCAGGGCCTAGCTAATCTTCTTCACTGGCGTAAACATAAACAGCAGGACAGCACAGCTCTCTTCTGGGAACAGACACTCAAGAATATAACTAATGAGTGTGTTTTAGTACTTCTTACATCACAGGAACCAAACTAAAAGTATGTGATGAAATGTAATTGCTTTACAATCAAAAGGGAGGGAGGGCGAGGTGTGTTGTTCTTATAATCTAAAGTGAAACTTAATCATTAGAGATGTGCATCCTTTTTAATTGAATTTCATTTTACTAGATTACTGTTTAAAGCTACTGCTAAGGTCTATTCTTTCATTTTTATTTAGCAATAATACATTAAAAGTGACAGTAGACAGTTACTTTACATCAAACATAGAAAAGATATACAGTTAAATGCTAAATTTGAGTCCTGCTGTTCATTTTTTTATTCTGTTTTATTTTAGATTTTTTTCCAACATATTTTTTAAAGTAGTGGTTTTCAATACAGTAATTTCTAATAAGTGATACCGTATTAATGTCTTTGCCATGATGACAGTACATAATATTTAAATTATTTTGCAAGTGACTTGCCTCTTATTACTAACTTAAAGTGCAAAAAGGCTTAACTAGTTTATTTAGGTTAACTAGGCATGTTTGTCAATTTAGTAAGTTTGTAAAGTCTTTGGACAACTGGTTTGGTCTTCAGCCAACCAAAAATAAAAAATTATATATTATATACTGTATATATATTTTTTCCTTTCAACATAAACATATATATTTAAATATTTAGGGGGACTAACACTAATAATATTGACCTTAAAGGTTACTTTTAGAAAATTGAAACTACTCTTCTTAATCCTAAGTCTTAAAATCTTAAAAAAGTAAGATTTTCTCCTCATATATATATATGATGCACTTATACACTCAACAGCATATTATTTGTGTCAAAAACTGACATTTGTTTTTACTAGTTTCCCTGATGATGTTTGACGGTAGCCATATTTGTGACATAAAAAACCGACATACCAAATAGAACCTGCCATGACTATAACCGCATTCACCATTGGTAGGCACTATAATCACTTTCGTTGGAGAACTTTGCTTTCACAATCCAAATAAAATAAAGTAATCCAACATGAGCGCCTAATAGCTCCACCCCTTTTGCTACATGAGCATAGCAGCGGCTGTTAAGTGTGTGAAGTGTCCATCAATCCACACTTATTTTTAGTGAATGAATAAGTGAATCATCCAGGCATTTAAAGTGCACTTATTCTTTTTAGAGTTTTCAGTGTGAACACACTATTTATACTACAAAATGGCATAGAATAGTGCACAAGTATGCGATTTGGGATGCACCTACTGTAAATTTAGATAAAGATATGTCTGAATGCATAATTAACCAAAGACCTGGGGAGATTCCTCATTGTGTCAAGATGAGTGACAGGGGATGTAATTAAGCAACATATTAATCTGTTAATGAGGAAGTAGTATGTTCCAAAGCTTGCATACCCTTCTAATACACAAAAGTGTGTCCTTTTCTTTCACAAAAAAGGGTGTAGTATGGTATATGAATTGGAGCGCATGTAATTATATTTTTGCATCCATGACACTGTGTCATTTACAAATATTAGCCAAAACAACTTTTTTAACATTTATAGTAACAACAAAAACATCTTGAGATAATAAAAACCCACATCAGCAATAAAATATTAATATTAATAAAATGTGAAATGTCATGGATGTATATTTTCTGAAAAAATGTAAAAAAAAAAAAAAACTAAAAAAAAAAACTAATAAAATGTTTGAATCAGACAGAATCAGAGCTATTGTTTTTGCTTAGTTTACCCAGGAAGACTGTACATTGATCATATTTGATACTTTCACACACATCACCAAAACTGAAGAGTCAGATTTTGTGCTCCAGTTGGTCTGTGTGCTGTGTGTGTAGGGTTTTTGTGTTTGACAGTGATCGTGCAGCACAGGCACTTTAACTTGACAGCCTGAACTCACACTCTTATCAAGTGGGGATTTGAGCCGCGAGACAAGCCTGTGCCTCTCTGTTTTTGGGTAATGCGATGTGAGAGACCCAGACAAATGCTATAATCTCTATCAGAAGTGTCTACGTAAGGCCTTTAGTGATGTTCTCTCACACGGCAGCCTGAGTTGACATGCACAGCTTGCAACATGAGATTATGTCTGGCCTTTTGCAAACATCAGTAGTGCAGCTCCAGCACAAAGTGTCTGTATCTCTAGCATTAAGGAGGCTTTTGGAATCATAAACCCAGATGCAAAGCGTCTCTAAGATTTGATCTGAGGCTTTGGCCGTTCAGCCTGGTTTGTTTTATGAATGATGTTTCTATTTATTTTTCTGATGCGGTCCAATTTCTTCACTGCCGTTCTGAAATTACAAACTTTTTGTCAGTAAACCATTTGATCAAAGCAAATCATTTGAAGCTGTCTTTAAGAAATTGGGTCAGATTCGGATTTGATCTAATGCAATCCACCGCGGCACATTTTCTTTTTTCTCTCTCTCTCTTCTCTTGTTTCTTGATATATCCCAATGCTTTTCGTGATTTCTTGCTGTCAGACATCCCATTCCTCTATTGAATTATACTGTGACATCGGCTAGATCCTGCTTAGCTGACTTAAATGGCTTATTGAGGAAGCATAGCTAATGTCTCTCATTCCTTCGCGAAAGAAAATATAATGTATATCCACATGAAACATGGGGTTATTTGAAGTAAATGGAATTTGTAGTGATTCTGTGGTCAGGTTATGTGGGCGGTATGAGCACAATCTTATTTCATGCTAGGAGCATTTTATTTTATGGTAATGGTAAATATAAAATTTGAAATTTCTGTTAATTCAACCTGAAATGTTTTTATATATAACCATCCTAGTATTAAATGAGATTCATAGCATATCACTCCAAATTTGGTCTTATTTTTCCTGTTAACAACTTTGAGACTGTGTGTAATTGATTTAGCTCATACAGACATTTGTAATCCCATTGGGATAACAGATCATGAGAATTCAGCATTTATATGAGACTTGCTGAGGTTTTTGAACTAAACTAAGTAACAGAATGCATCACTTCATCTCTGCTGTAATTACACAAAAAGCAAACAAAGCAAAAGCCTCATTTAGCTGTGATGACGAGCCAAGAAGCGATAATGAGTTTTTAATATTCTATTATTTTCCGTAACTTATTGCAAAATGTAAGCATTTGTAATATTAATAACTTAGCACGTCATGATAACAGCTTCATGCGTTTGTTTCTCCAAAAGGAATGCAAGTAGATTTGTAAAAGGCATGTGTGTGTGTTTGTTTAGGTGATGAAGCTGAGGAAGTTGGCTCAGCAGATTGCGAACTGCAGACAGTGTCTGGAGCGCTCGAGCGCCCTCATCACACAGGCGGAGCACAGCCTGAAGGAGAACGACCACACCCGATTCCTCCAGACGGCCAGGAATGTGGCGGAGAGGTGAGACCGCACACACACTCACACACGCCGTCACTGCCTCCGCCAGTACTTCTTAAGGCTGCCAGCGTGAGGGCAACGTTCAGCTGCTCTGCACATTTCCCGGTGACGCCTCCTCCTTTCAGTTCAGTTGCTTGTGGCTTTTATTCTAAATAAAACAAAAGTGTGCCTTCAGAACTCAATATTTAATAATATTTATGCTATGGCACGCTATTTTATCATTAATCCATTCATTCATTTTCTTGTCGGCTTAGTGCCTTTATTAATCCGGGGTCGCCACAGCGGAATGAACCGCCAACTTAACCAGCACATTTTTACGCAGCGGATGCCCTTCCAGCCGCAACCCATCTCTGGAAAACAAAACCATTTTATCATCTAATACCAAAAATATATTTAGTTAGTATTTAGTTAGTTTTATGTTTTTAGCTAAAAACAATTAGCATCCTGTTATATTTTCGCTGCTAGTCATTTTTAAAGATACTGTTGATTGATTATTTCAATTGTTGATTCATTGATTCATTGATCCATTGATTGATTGGTTGATTGATTGATTGATTGATTGATTGATTGATTAATTGATTGATTGATTGATTTATACATTCACTGGTCAATTGATTGATTGACTGACTGATTGATTGATTGATTGATTGATTGATTGATTGATTGATTGATTGATTGATTGATTGATTGATTGATTGATTGATTGATTGATTGATTGATTGATTGATCGATCGATCTATCGATCCATTCATTCATTCATTCATTTATTTATTAGTGGTACTTGTTCAGTTGTTCATTAGATACAAGTAATTGTTTAATAGATATCAGTATTTATGTGTTAGGTACTACTTTTTATTAGGAACTAGTATTTGTTCATTATATTACTTCAAATCTGTTCAAAATTAACACTTACAAACAGTACATACTATTTATTCTTCAGATACTACTCATTTTAGTACATTATGGTTATATATTAACTATATTGCAATAGTGGTTTCTAGATACTAGTACTTATTCATCAGACATTATTACTCATTTAACTAATAAATAGACACTAGTATTTATTGCAGTTTTGTCATATAATTCAATACTTCTTCATCTTTATTAGGTACTTATATATACCATAGATTACATCTACATTATTTTTATTTGAACTGTGCATTGGCCATTATGACTAATAAAAAAAAATGAAGGAAGTACTTGTTGTCAGGCCCATGTAATTTCGTCATGTGACCTTCCCCTTTGTTCTGTTTCCTGCCATTTCATTATGTTCATCATTTACACCTGTGTACATCCTCTGTCAGTGATTAGAGTCTGTGTATTTTAGTCCTGTGTGTTGTTTAGTCATTGTCCGGTATTCTCTAGGTTATGCTTGTCAGCACCTCATGTTGTTCCTGATTCTCCTCTGTTTCTTAATGTGAGTGTTTATTAATAAATGTACGAGTTTGATAACTCCTGCGATCCTTTGCCTTCCTAAGAAAGGCCAAGCATGACACTTTTACAGGGCCGGGCAGAATCTGCAGCTTTTTTTTTTAATTTCTTTTAATTTTTTATTTTAATTTATTTATTAATTATTATTGTTATTATTATTTTGTATTTCTGTGCAGAATTTTGAAAAAAGAAAAAATACACAAACAAATCAATAATAATAAAGCTGCAGATTTATAGTTAATGATTTTGAGATTAAAAGCTAAAAGCATAAAATCAAAATACCTTCAACCCTAACTTTTTAGATTTGTAATGCAAATACAATCAGATCTAATTTGTTTTGGTTAAACAATCTACAGTACAGTGGCTCTCTCACATATTACATCTACTAAAAGGCAAATATGGCTTTACAAATTGTATTATACAAAAATTTTCAAGATGGTTGCATATTAATCAATATTATTACAGAACTTAATATGAAAACTGAATAAATAAATATATGTGTACCTATTTAAGTAAATAAATTGATTGAATGATTGGCTCTAAAATCTATAGAATCCATGTGGGCTTACTAAAGTGTATCTAAGAAATATGTTGTAATTTGTAAATTGAATAGGCATCAGTAGCTTAAAAACAGATACTAATAGCGGACAAATTAAAGAATAAATATTGAAATGGCTTGCCATATTTTCGAAGGTTCAGGTGTTGAGAAATGCTTTAGGTGTCATTTATTTTACAAAATGGGCTATATGTGCACCTTAGGCACGTTGATGACACACAAAGAACAAGCTGTTATTTCTTTCTTGCTTCTGTTAAGTGTGTGCTATTATAAGCCTGATTATTACCTTTCTAAATGTCTTTTTCTGGCATTATGTAACACTGACTGTCAGGATATGGAGTCTCGACTGACATCTGGCTGCTTTTAAATGCTCATATGTGCTCGTGCACACACACATTTCTCACAGCAATGCGGCTGTCTGAAAATAGTCATATGCATATGTTGGTCAAAACGCAGACAGGCAATTAATGTAAACACAGTTGTTGTGTCTTATGTAACTGTCACCAAAATTGGTTTGCTATGTGTTGCAGTATTAGATCTTTCAATTAGACTGTATGAAAATGTACAAATAATAATATTTGTAAGAGAATATATTATTAATAACTGATTTTATAGTTATAAAATAATTATTTTGATTTGTAAGAAAATGTCATTTTTAGTCATTGCGTTACTTGACTTTTCCTTAGAATTATCTGTAAAATTGTAAATCCCACACAAGTTTAGAATGTACAAATTGAATCAGTGTGGATTTAATTACTAGTAATTTTTGGCTAAATGCTATTATTTTAAAACTACAGATTTTTTAAAATTGCAAATCTCAGTTTTGTTTAGTTTTTTTGTGTGTGTGTGTGTGGGGGGGGGGGGTTGCTGTATTTTTAAGGATTGGCTTAAGTTGTTTTAGTCTGTAAAAGTGCTGCGTTTACACCAGACATTGATAAAGTGTCAAGTGTGAGTGTTTAACATGTTAAATCATTGTAATGATTGTGGTTGTGATGAATAAATGAATCGCTCAAGCTGGAAAATCTGAATTTCAGCTCACATTTGCGTCATGTTAACCAATCAGGAGCTTGCTCGTGATTATGATGTAGTGCCTGTTATTGGTGTCCTGTGGGGAAATCCTCCAGCCGTCACAGGACAACAGCTCATCACATTGTGCTCGACTCAGTCTGATGCACCACTGAAAACCTCCATCATCCAGGTATAGTTTCTGGAGGAGTTGATGAACTCACAAAGCTGGGTGCTCCTCTGAAAGTATCTAGGGTACTCGATACCAAATTAATTTACATTGTTTTTCAGCCTTCCTAAAGCACATAAAGCACAGCTGCTATCTTAATAAAATTTATGTTAGCCATTTAGCAACCAAGCTAGAGCCACCAGGCAGGCAGAAGCCCTGCTCATGACAAAAATCCACATCTATTGTGAAGTGAATTTGAAGTGTAAATAAAGCGAATTTGATGCATGAATTTTACACGAGTGAACTCAAAATGTTCATGTGTCTATTTACACGCAAATAGCACCATTTGTTTGCACAAGACATGTTTGGTGTGAACACAACATAAAACATTCATTTTAATAAAAAATACAAATTATTCAGGAAAAACTATTGATTTCACTTGCTGTGAACAAAAAACAAGAAGTTATTTCACTTTTCTGAAAATAAAACATTGAAATTGTGTTGTCAAATCTTCTAAACCTGTCAGAAAGCACGGCAGCAAAAAATAAATAAAAATCTAAATGCAATTTTTAAACATATTTCTTTAATTTTGCAGAAATGATACAAGCAGTTCACAGAATAAAGCAAACTCAAACTATAAATCATTCATCTAGAACAGAGATGCCTAAACTAGGGCCTGTGGGCAATTGGCCCATTCTAACCTTTGATTAGGCCCACCATCCCATTTGGGAAGAGAGGGAGAATGATGGGGAGGTGCTTGGGGTGAATATCTTTGACAGAAATCATCATTTCAAATTTAGTGAAAGCTTTTGTTTGTTTAATTTATAATTTGTTTTGTAAATAAATCTGATTTTTTTTAAAGTAAATAAAAACTAGATAGAGACAGATAGATGCACGAGACATTATTCAGAAAATTAAGGCAAAGTCAGGTGCAGCTTATTGTTTTCAGCATTGTGTTAATAATGGAATTGTTTGTTTTTACTGAAATACATTTATTATACTTTTTACTTTTAAAATAGTAAATAAATTAGGAAATAAATTAGGAAATTAATCATGGAAGGGCGTCATGGTGGCGCAGTGGGTAGCATGATAACCTCAAAGCAAAAAGGTTGCTGGTTGGAACCTCATCTGGGTTAGTTAGCATTTCTGAGTGGAGTCTGCATGTTCTCCCCATGTTCATGTGGGTTTCCTACACAAATACAAAGATATGCGCTATAGGTGAATTGAATAAACTAAATTGTCCATAGTGTATTTGTGTGAATGAGTGTGTATGGATGTTTCCCGGTGATAGGTTGCAGCTGGAAGAGCATAATCTGTGGCGACCCTAGATTAAAAAAGAAAATGAATGAATTTCTTTTCAATTTACCTTTGGCCCACAGCCCTCAATCAAGTTTGGTTTTTGGCCCTTCATAAGAAAGTTTGGCCAACCCTGATCTAGAGATTTATATTTATTTAAATAAAGCATTGTAAGAATTCTATAAATCTTAAAAGAGTCAATATGTTTTAATAGCAGCTACAAAAATCCTTGTATTACTGACAGTACGGTCATGTGTAGGCTATTATTTGAATTTCATGTGCCACACATATTTTCTCTGACTTTGAGTGCTGCCAGATGCTGTTCATAATTTATGTGACTGCTGGTAAAAGATGACATTCAGCCTTATAGCCTGTAAAAACAGACCGGTGTAAATAGAAACATTTACAAATTAATTGCCCGCTCATTTCTTTCCGCCCAGAGTTGCCATGGCCACCGCCTCCTCCCAGGTCCTCATCCCAGACGTCAATCTGAACGAGGCCTTTGACAATTTTGCCCTTGATTTCTCCAGAGAAAAGAAAATCCTGGAAGGACTGGATTATCTGACAGGTAAAACCAGTGAGAAAAGCGAAACCACAAGTGTTTCTTATGTATGTAGTGCAAGTTTAATGAATACATGGTGTATCCAGGATGTGGCTAGAATTACATCAGCCGTCCTTTTTTGTAGAAGATCAGTATATCCTGTCTTGACAATTGCTTTCTTTTCCAGCTCCCAACCCTCCCTCGATACGCGAAGAGCTCTGCACGGCCTCTCACGACACCATTACAGTGCACTGGACATCTGAAGATGAATTCAGCGTCACGTCTTATGAGCTTCAGTACACCATCTACACTGGACAGACCAACTTCATCAGTGAGTTGAACTACTCATCTTACAGACTTACACACTCTTTTACAGTGACTCCCTCGGTTACAGTTATGTCAAAAGTTTGAATACCCCATTGATTTTCATAGTTGATAATGATTAAAAATGTATAATCCTTGGCAGGTTTTAAAATTTGCAAGATAAAACTTCAGATCAACATAAACATCACATGACATTTCATACCATTTATTGATTTATTTATGAGCGACACATTGGCTCAGTGGTTAGCACTGTCGCCCCACAGCAAGAAGGTTGCTGGTTCAAGTCCCGGCTGGTATGTTGGTATTTCAGTGTGGAGTTTGCATGTTCTCCACCGTGTTCGCATGGCTTTTCCTCAGGGTGCCACGGTTTTTCCCACAGTCATGTGGTACAGGTGAATTGGGTAAACAAAGTTATCTGTGGTGTATGTGTGTGAATGAAAGTGTGTATGGATGTTTCCCACTGATGGGTTGAAGCTGGAAAGGCATCCGCTGGGTAAAACATGTGCTGAATAAGTTGGCGATTCATTCCGCTGTGGTGACCTCTAATTAATAAAATGACTTAGCTGAAAAGAAAATGAATAAATGAATGAAATTGGCTCTAGTGTACGTGTGTAACTGATTGTGTGTAGATGTTTCCCAGTACTGGGTTGGAAGGGCATCCGCTGCGTAAAACATATACTGGATAAGTTGGCGGTTCATTCTGCTGTGGCAACCCCTGATGAATACAACGATTAAGCCAAAGGAAAATGAATGAATTAATTAATTTATTGAGGTATTTTAGTATATTATCTTTGTATTGAGCTGTAAGAAAAATATTTAAGAAAATTATGACAATTTAATGCAACACAATTGTATTTACGTATTTTAATTTAAAAAGAAACACAACAACAACAGCAAAGTAAAGAAGGAAAAAGATGTTTTAATTAATTAGGATTGTTCCGATAATAAAACAGTGGGAAGAAATCATATAAATACAAATCATCAATAGAAGGCATGCACCAGATCATTATTAGACAATGCTTTATTTAAAAAGACCTCTGGAAATGAAGAAATATGTAGATAGAGCAAATCAGTGTCAAGTTATTTAGTCTTTTCCAGTTTCATTTAGTAAATAGCCAAAATCTGAATTTGAAATGAAGTATGCGAAGTGTGTCCACAATTTCTCAAAAATGAAAGCTAATAAATGAAGCTAAGGTTTAAAAAGCCAACACAGGCTCATTCTGAAAACGTAGCCCTATATGTAATTCTGGAGATTACAAATTATGTAGCCAGAGGAACGTAGGACTGCATTTTGTCTTTAAAACGAACGCTATTGGGCGTTATGACGGCGTTCCTTTTCGTGCTTAATAGCTAGCCACTTATCTCTATGTGGATGGCTTTTCCGCTGTTACCAGTTTGTCCGGTAGCTCAATACATACATCGATGGACTTGTGATGTAGAGCGTTATAGACCGTGATGGCAGAGTTCGAGTTCCTCAAAGAACAGTTCCAAAAAAATAATAATAAAAATATACAAGTAAATAACAGGGTGAAAATGTGATAAAAGCGGAAAACGTGGAAAAAAATCATTTTTTGTTTTTATTTTATTGCTTTTTAAAACAATGCAGTTGGGTGTAGGGAAGGGGGTGGGCGGGTCAATTGATGCTTTTTAAAACACTATTATTTGGGTTTAGGTGAGGGTGAGGTATTGGTCGGTTGGTCAGTCAGTCAGTAAGTCAGTCGGCAGGGACCTATGGTGGAGTAGGAGAGCAGGCATAAATGGCTCTCGTGAGAGAAATTTGAGGTCTGAAAGGCATACACAGCGGCCTCTGGTAGATTCGCAAAAACAAAAACTGCAAAAAAAAACTTCTATGATGTATTTTGCTCTCTCAGAATGAGCCTGGGTTGAAAAAAGCCATAGGTGACAAACTTAGAACTGCCTATAACTTAAATGCCTGTAGATCCACTTTTAGCAGATATTACTTAAAGTAATGATTTTCTATATGAACTAGAGAGTTTTGGGATGAGGTCTGGACTTTGGCTGGTTTAGATTTGCTGCTGTGCTTGGGGTCACTGTCTTGTTGCTTGACCCAATTTTCTTTAAACAGTATTGGGTTGTTCACACACAAGTCTTCAGACCAACAGACTGCTAAAACTTCTGCTGATGATTGGTTGATGATTTTGATTAGCTGTGTCTGACTTGGTTTTGTAGTGATATATGTTGTTGTTCATCGGAGATTTTATTCTTTAAATTTTAAGACCTGCCAAAATTTAGATAATTATTTATGCCCTAATATGGAAAAATTGAGATTTGATAGGGTGTCTGTTTCACATGACCCACATATCTCACATATCTTTTGCATGAGTACATTTCTACCAGTTTTGCATCTGTTTACAGTATTAAATTAGGCATAACCTAATAATCTTATTATCCAAGACACATCATTTTTGCAGCATTGAGAATTATTTCAGTTTACACACTGTTGTGTTGATATTATGAAGGCCATAGCCAAGATGAGGTGATTGGCCATTTTTTATTCATTCATTTTCCTTCATCTTAGTGCCTTTATTCATCATTGGGTTGCCACAGCGGAATGAACCGCCAACTTATCCAGCATATGTTTTACACAGCAGATACCCTTTAGTCTGCAACCCAGTACTGGGAAACATCCATGCACACTTATTCACACACATGCAGTACACTAAGTGTAGCGGAGACCAGCCAGTAAAGTGCTGTGCAGTGTCTAGACAGACACTAGAGGCCATGGTCTTTAGCCTCCTTGTTAGAGCAACCAACTCCCATGCGGAAGCGAGTTGGGTGGCGTAGGACCTGCATAAGGCCATATAAGGCCTATAGTGCATGTCTTTGACCTGTGGGTTAAACCAAAGCACCCAGAGGAATCCCACACCAAGATGGGAGAACATGCAAACTCAACACTGAAATGCCAACTAACCCAGCCAGGTCTCGAACTAGTGACCTTCTTGCTGTGAGGTGATAGTGCCAACCACTGGGCCACCATGTCACCCTGGCCATTTTTGTATCAACGTAAAACTCTTTACTGTCACTTTTAATAGACATAACACATGCATTAGTTTGTGAATAACATTATACATTTATTATTTTATCATTACATGGATAATTTTGTTTAATATTTTGGTAGCATTTCCAGCAAACAAAACCTCTACTTCTATTCTAAACAATAAAATCTTTCCCCATATCTTTTTTTTTTTCTTGAGGCACCTGTAAATAAAAGCTATAGGTAATGCTTTTACATCTATGTAGCTTTATAGAGCTGTTTAATTGCTTAAAGGCCAATAAGGCACTCTGACATGCATAACTTGGCAAGCAAAGAGAGAGCATTTTCTCTCTCTCTCTCTTTCTCTCTCTCTCACAGACCTGCTCCTCAGTTTTCATTCAGCCCGCTTCAGTAACAAGCACGGTATATTCATTTCAACCGTTGATGGTTTAGAAGCTCAGGAGCATCCACAGAGCTACCGCAGACTCCTTAGAGAATACAAACAAACAGACGGAGAAATGGAGAGCACTGCTTTCTTCCTAGACCTTTTTACAGCATTGCTCTTTGAATGCCGATGCCTAAACGCTGCAATTCTTAGATGCGTATGCTTGGATCCCAAGAGAAGAAATATGAGCCTGTTCTGGTGCATTTTCTCAGTTGCTGGCCAAGTCAGGAATAATAAAAAAAAACTTCATCTGCCAGGCAGGATCTATCTAATGGATTTCCTTCTATAAGGAGCTTCAATTATCTGTTGTTTCAAGGCATTTTTTAATGGAATAATGTATTTTCCGTCCCATTGTTTCTACATTTATCATATTTGCAGGCCAATGGAATTGACGGCTTGTTATATGTTCCCTTAAGCAAAATTTTGCAAAACACATTTTTGCAAATCTTTCACAGTCAAAGCATAATATTCATGGTTTAAGGCTGGATAAGCATTTCCATAATGCTTATTCATTGGAATCCATCGATTTATGTGCCAGCAGCTGCTAGCATGCTTTTGACATACAAAATAAGTCATGTGCTATGTAAAAATCCATACATTTCCCTTACACTGCACTCAAGTCCAATAAATATAATTGCGCAGCTGCCATGACTGGAAAACTGACCTTTTGTGATCAATTAAACGTGCCCAGAATTCATGCGCATCAACTCAGTGTGCTAGGGCCACATGATTCTGGCTGAAATGAGAATCACGTTTTTTTTTTTGTTTTTTTTCAATTTAAATATTTATTTTTAAAAATAAAGATCCTGATTTTCTCATGATTATGTAGATGTAAAATAAAGGGTAGTTTAGTTTAAAGCTTTAATAATCCCCTTGGGGCAATCCATTCTGACATGGTGCTGCTTCACATATAACAAGACTGACAAACTTAAAGGGCCATGAAACCCCCTCTTTCAGAAACAAACACCAACACCTAACATTAAGGACACAAACAAAAAACTGAAAAAAATTGGGAGAAAAAAAATGATAATAATAATATTACAATCAATAACAATAATCATTTATATTTAAAAAAATTATAATAATAAATAATAATAATCCATTGGTTAACTTTATAAGTTTATTTACATAACCGAGTTGCTTCAGGCACAAAAGTAAATTTAGGTTAGTATTAATAGGCTATTGTTATTGTTATTCTCAAACATATGGTGAAACAACAATAATAATATTAGGCCTATGTGTTGATGTGTTGGTTAAAATGCTAAATAATAACATTAGAATACAACTAATCATAATTCTATAGTCAAATTATTGTGTTTGAGACGTATGCTTGGAATCTGTCATTGACCCTTTGGGATTTATTCTAACAATCTAGTCGCAAATTCCAAATCGCAGGACGCAAAAGCATTAAGGGTTTGCCCGAATCCACTTTTGATATTTTAAGAATGGAAAAATACGCTCTGCACTGAGGCGCATGGTCTAACAGGGTTGTGCTTATTCTATTAATGAGTTATGTGTGTGATTTGAGAATAAACCAATCAGTCTCATCTTCCAATCCCTTTAAGAG